AKAGASAYGTGAATAATTGTCCAAGGTGTTAAAAAAAGGTCTCYATCATTGCAACCTCACCGTTCGTCTCGCTTCGATGCAAAGGCATGGCTACCTTTCAAGATGGCGCAGGGAACTGTGAAGGGGACTATTCTTCTGCTATATTAAKCAACATGGCCGCCGTATGTTTTGTTAATTCAYTCCCTTARAAATGATTGAAAAYCAGCAATACKGACTAATATTGTCTTCATTTATTCCTTACAGGGCARTGGAGAGGAAAAGAAGGCCTTAACTCGTACGCGATTGGTTCAGGTAACCCACGTGATCACACTACTAAATGTCGTTACTGAAAGACAATACTCCAATTTCGAGTTCTCATTGCTCAGACTTAGTCTCGGTTGTGTGTTATAATATTCAGCTATTCAACCAAAACCCGTGGCATTTTAATGAACTCGTATTGTTCCGTAGTACGTACATTCCTTACTATACAATGGACCTTAAYAAAAGAAAAGCACATATTGGTGCACAATCGAGGCTAAGACTTAAGCAAAACAATAGCCAAGCAGGGGCGGATCCAGGAATTTGTTCAGGGAGGGATGTAGCGCACATAGTTTTATCCAGGGAGGGGTGCACCCCTTAGAATCAAAGGGAAAAACATTATTTTGTATTGGTTAAATCTTTGAAGTAGTGACACAAAGTCCACTGCCAAGGATAATGAATTTGAAGCTAAATAACACCCTGCAGTACAAGAACCCCTAACCAAGAATACAATAAAGCTTGCTACACCAAGACCCATAATAGACCCCTTGCAGCACTTCAGCTTAATTTGAASGGCAAAACAATAGGTTCCCAATTCACAAGATATTGAAATGYTTTTGTTTTGTCCTCCAAATTGAGGTCCTTTGACGTCACATGCAAGGGGCCAATTGTGCGTAAAACTTCGACACGCTATTAAGTCTTAGTTCGTGAGAGACGCGACCACCATGAATTTTAGTCACCCCAACCATGTGTAGGGTTTACCATTCGTAGATATAATCACAAAGGCAGCACCTTCTTCTCAGTTGTTTTAAGACCCTAAATATTGGGCCAACCGCACAACAGACCAGTACCTTTTTACACACTCTTTAGCCAAGGATTCTCAGGATCCCCAGAACTTGAGTTCTCCATCTAATGTTTAACTCTTTCTCATAGGTCAAGATATTTTGAGACAAGAACTGAACTCCAGATTCCTACAAAGCCACACAGACCGAGGACACTACAATCTTCACTATGAGAACCATCAACACCAACACCTACACAACCATCAACACCAGCATCAACATCAGCATCAACAYCAACATCAACACTTCCATTCTCCACCTGCCTTACCCGTTGTGCCAGCCAGCCCGTTATTTGTTCCTGGAAATTCTGCTATGGTCAGTTAATGAGGGTTATTATTGTACATTTTACTCACTATCCCGCTTCTGGTTGGCCGGGAGTATTAATTAGCCAATTAATGATATCGTGTTACTTTAACAAGATAAATGTATTATCGGCACGTCTGTTTTTCGCATGCGCAGATGACGATCTTGCAGGCAGTCAAAAGTAATAATACTCAAGGGAATGACACGTGGTCTGAACTGGGAAAACAGTGATTAGGTCTAGAGGTGTACCAATATTCTTGCCATAAAATAACTACGATATAAAGCACTCGCTGATTGGCTAAAGAGCGAGCGTCTTTATAAAAACAGGCCTCTTCTGAGTTTGATAAACATGATGCATTGTGGTCTAGCTTGGGTACAAACAACACCTCATACTGAGGCATGACGACTAAGGATGCTGTTTGCTACCCAAGCTAGAMCACAGTGCACCAYGATCGCCTTRATATTGACAGCYTTTTCATATTTTGTTTTAGTCTCATGTAGGAGTACCTCCCCAGTCACCTCACACTCCTTCTGCGGCCGTCCCACCACCTCTCATTCACAGGGTAATATATTATACATATATCATAAATTATATCTGTTTTGTTTGACGTGTTTTATTTGTTGTTTGAGTGATTTATTGATTTGTTGTTTGAGTGTTTTATTGATTTGTTGTTTGGGTGTTTTATTTATTTGTTGTTTGTTACAAATGCCTCAAAGGGATCATCACCTTAACTAGTTAGCCCTGCGCCCAACCCCCAAACCTTGGACCTGTGCGGCATGGGTGGCCCTAACAGGAGTACAAGACCCCTGTCAACATAACTCTAGGRGGCAAAGGGACAACAAACACTACTGCCCCACTACGATATGATGTGTGTCCCTTCGACCCCTAGRRCTATGTCGGCTGGAGTCTTGTACTCCTGGTAGGGCCACCAATACCGAACAGGTCGAAGGCTAGAGACCAGACAAAGATTGATCCCCAAGCTGATCCTCCAGGTTGGAGGTTGGGCGAAGGGCTAACAACCCTACCCCGTAAAAAAAGCAGTGTTACAGAAAACGTTAAGGCAGTATGCGACGAATGATGATGACGATGATGATGATTTTTTGTTACAGAAACCTGGTAAATGGTGCTCGTCACATATCCAAATCGCCTGGCAGATTTATTATCATCAACAAAAGGTAATTTTTTAATGATATCCAAAACCTCTCAGATTCACAGTCGTTCTTAGTAATACAGGYTTCCATGGACGTAATTGGACATTCCATACGTGCCATTGAATAATTTGTATTTTCCAACGATTTCATGGAAACGCCACCCACCAAAACTTCGTCACGACGACTATGCTGTTSGTTTTTTTGAGGACAGGACGTCAAAAGTTTCGAATACCAAAGACTATGTTAAAGTTTTTCATTACTAGTTCAATCCCTTCTGTCGTTGTTACATGCTAATCATAGCATCTATTCATTGATCAATCATTGATCCGTTAAAATTTTTATTGTAAATGTTATCTTATACATCAATCATAATGATAAAACGTGCAAACGAATATCTTATATTGCTAAGATTAAAGTACTCTYTTGGTCCAGGTTCAAGCTGAGATGCACAACGACCCTCACATCAAACCAGAACAAATCCCAGTCAGCCGAGCCGCCAACGCTCTCTCCCTACACTCACGACAAGGGGTACATGAAGTAGGATACCGGTCCCCTCGTGTCCATGGACAGGGTACAGCCAGTCCAATAGCTATGCCACACCCAACAGAATCTTCTAGACAAAGAGGTTTGTATATTAATGTCGTTACAACAATTGCCAAGAACAACATGCCGGTGAAAATCACAGTAGTCCTCGCAGTGATGTCWYCGTAACACGGTAGAATATGYCCCAGGCCCCGGACACTTTTTGGARGTTAGAGACGAATTTGGARGACGAAAAAGAAATTTAAATTGCTGAATTCCAAAACAATTGCACCATGATAATCAGAAACTCAAGTAACAAGCCTAAAACAGTCGTTATCAGATTGCAACGACAGCCGAATGCCAATGTACCTAATCCTCTTGGGCGTAATGTTTTGCCCATATAAGACCATGTGTCATTCTCTCGAGAATGATATTCTTTGTTTGAGTTGTACCCATATTCATGTGTCTTCTCATGCAGAACCGTTAGACAAAGAAATGATACTCTAGGGAATGACACGTGGTCTGAAATGGGAAAACAGTTGATTAGGTCAATACTGCTCTCAATAACATCCGCTGGTAAAAGTATACATGCGATATTAAGGGATGGACCATTAGAGCATTGAAGGGGGGTGGGCTGCAGAAATTTATGTTGCACGATATTCTTRCGTACATGACATACCATTTGCTTCAATCAGAATTTCCGGTTAAATGTTAAGCACCCCAGACTGCATAGTRATATACTTCTTAAACATCTTTTTTAGCTGGTTTTCTGAGTTTTGCTCCTGTAACTCCTACCCCGACTAACTCCGACGTGTCACCGGTTTCTCCCTACGGTGGACCCACCCTGGGCCTTAGTGACCTTCGAAGTCGCCCAAATGGWGTTTTGGGKCTGAATGGAAGCAACTATCGTAGTTCAGCTGGCAGTGGTTTTAGYTCTACCATGTCAAGCTCGATGGGYTCTGGTCTTGGGAATTCRTACGGTGGACTGGGAGGGATTGGGCGTGAATGGAATCATCACCATGGAAACCATTCTCCYTGGCATAATCAAGAATCTTTTGAACGAAATAGAGAGAAAGAACGTGAACGAGAGAGAGAAAGAGAAAGAGAAAAAGTACGAGACAGAGACAAGAGTAGAGAACGCATCGAGGGCGACAAGTTTCCAAATAAAGAAAGAGACCGAGAGTCTAGCTCTTCTCGCGTAGATATCGACAATGAAACAACAAAGCCAAAAGACACAGAAAAACCAACTGACGAGCTTCGTTCTCCACGAGCCCAACGTCCTTCCAGTTTTAATATCGCCAGCTTAACAGGTGAGGGTAGAGGAGAATCATCCTCTACCGACTCACGACACCCTTCCGACAGAACACCCCTCCCTGGTCGAAGAGAGGAGGCTAAAATAAACCCTACCGACGAACGAGACGTCATCGTAYTAAATGACAAACGAGCGTTGTCGCCGAATGGTCATCAYGGGGCGCACTCGGCTCCATATATAGACAAAAGACTGTACGAATATGAACGACCTTTGGATCCATTTGATCTTGGTAGATATGGTCGTGGTCCCATGAGAATAGGCTCTATACCCAACTATTCCCTTGCACAACCACCTCTGTTTGGTCCAATGGGTCCGTACCTTCATGGTTCTGCTATGTCAGCAGTCACACATCCTTATTACATGTCGCACGTTACWACGCGAGGGATGCTGGGTGCCCACTTTGGGCCTTCGGGACCTAGAAGTAGAAGTCCCTTGGATGGGCCCGACATCCTACAAGCTGAAAATAGACCTATATAGATGGTATTCGATAAAACCTGTACAGAATCAAAATGCTGGAGAAAGATTACTCCGTGTATCATAAAGAATATAGAATTGAAGTAGGTTTTTTCCCCCACAGCCGTTATACTCTGCCGGCACGCATGCATTGACTACACTACCACAAAGTTGAAGTCATTTCTTCAAATTCCAGGGTGAAAAAGTAAAAATATTTCTGAGTAATTTTCACCACTCGTCGGGTTCCTACTACAATAATTTGATTTTCCCGCCAAAATTGGAGGCAATTGTTATTGGTTGACGTCTTGTCAATAACCTGTGCACTTGAAAGGCTTTCTATCTTGGTACATTATTGTCATAGAAACGTACATTCGTATCGTTCRTTGTACTGGAGATTACTAATTCTTTGTCGTGAAATGGCCTGCAAAATTCACCAAGACATCCGGCTCTTAATTCATTATTATTATTATTATCGTTTCCTTACCAATCTTCTTCATCGYCCTAAATATATGAATATATTCCATGTATGCGTATTTCTTGAATCAACAGACTGTTGTGTTTAGTGCAAGAAAAAAAAAACTATGAAAAAAATATAGATTATTACAGMAACCTCACACTTCAGAATCCTCACCTTGTTCAAAAATCTTCACGTATATTTTTTAGCATTAGATTTGAGGAGCATGGAAAGTCCTCTTAGAGTCTTGCAATTGACTCTTCATGATCATGCCAAGTAGGCTTTGTTATATAGAGGGCACTTTCGCTCCAGTCTCCAACGAAACCTTTAACCGCGGGGCACTGAAGCGAGAGGCACTGCAGCCCTCGGCAATATGTTGTAACATGGAAAGGCGTGTAACTTGCATATGCAATGCAACATTGTTGCGTTGCAAGGCAAAGGTTACTCGCGCCACCCCACATGCGGAACAAACTCATTTGTTGCGAAAAACACGGCTAACTTCTGCCTAAAATGATCTTARTTTATTGTTACGAAACAATCCCTGCTTTTTCTCAAAATAGAATCTGAGCTAAAAAGAAGCCATATAATAGAAAATACAGACCTTACTTATATAATGGCCCCATCAAATCTGCCTCGGATCCCGACCCTAGACGTCTAGACTAAACTTCACTAAATRCAGCTGCTTCAAAAAGTGTTGGTGAAGCTTTTTATGCATACCAAGCCCGAAATGTATCGATGTATTGAAATTTATAGTGTTGATGTATTTGGTATTGCATTCACATCGCCTATGTTTTGCATATGATGGACTCCTTGCATGTGACTTCAAAGCAGCTCAGTTTGGAGGGGAATAACAAAAGAATTTCAATCTCCTGAGAATTGGGAACCTTTTGTTATGGTTTGAGCTGCATTCCGACGTGCTGCAAGGGATCTATTGCTGGTTTTCAATCATTCCCAAAAGAATGAAATAACCAAAAAAAAAACGGCGGCCATGTTGGATGACATAACGAGATTAATGACGAATCTTTTGTTAAAATCCTCCAAGATGGCAGCTGTGAAAATCAATTGCTTGGTATGCAACATATAAAAAACCTTAACCAATCTATCCTTGAAACATCTGTATTCTAGATAAACTGCAGAAAGGCGTTAATCTGAATATAACAATTTATCTGGATAATGCTTTCAGTTCATAAAGTGCATACCATACTCATATCCGAGAAAAAGTTAACTAACAACATTGTACTAATTTGTGCAAAGTTTTGTAGGTCTACTGAACTTAATAATTTGTCCAGATTTGCGCAATTTCTTACAAAGGTTTTTCACGGACATATGGTATGTTTTCTAATAACCTTACAAAAGTGCATACCATATATCRGTGAAAAACATAAGAAATTTCACAAATTAGTAAGTAGAAAGTAGACCTACAAAACTTTGCACTAATTTGTACAAGTTTGTTAGGTGACCACAGTAAATCCGTGAAACACTAATTACTAAATAGTACAGAATAGTGCTAGTTAAACAATAGAAAACAATGGAATTTGCATGAAATTGTGCTATTTAGTATTACTAAAGTTTCACGGATTTACTGTGGTCACTCTAGTRAACGTTTTCACAGATATATGCACTGTACTAAAAACAAAGTTATCGTCTGTCCTAGTGCCCAGTACCTCTCTCTCTAGCCAGGCCTGTGAAAGGAAGGTAGWGCACTGGGGCGAGGTTGGTTATCATTTCCATTAAAAAGGTCCATTTTGATAATTTAAATATGTAGAAAAAAGATGAATATTTGTAAGTATACATTCTGAATCAATTAGAGTTCCACTAGGAACGGAAAGTGAAATAATTCCTACATTTAATGAATTACAACAATAAATTATTGGTGTTGAACCTAAATCTCAGTTATCAATTTTCTGCTCCCAAAACAATATCTGACCTACATGACTTCATTCGTATGCATTCCATGGTGCATTGCGCAATATTTGAGTAGAGTTCGTTAGGTCTCCCTTGACTCAAAGAGTTTTTCTTCAGGTTTACTTATTTTCCTTCTTGCGCAAAACCTAAGAAGTTAACTAATACCTGACCTAGGTCTAGTTTTCGGGTTCGAAAGAAGTTATTTCAGGTTTCGATCCATGAGTTTGCCATGTCCTGACTTAGATCAGCCCAGAGGTTGTTTCAGGGTTCGATCTGTAAAATAGCTGTGCCCTGACTTAGATTAGCCCAGAGGTTGTTTCGGGGTTCGATCTGTGAGTTAACCAAGGGCGGATCCAGGGGGGGCAAGGAGGAAAAAAACGATGCTTTTTTATTGTTTTCCGATGTGTTGACGGAAGAAACTCAATTAGCCCCCCTCTAAACTCAATTAGCCCCTCCCCCTAAAATATTGGCTGGATCCGCCCTTGTTTACCGTGCCCTGACTTTGATCTGCCCAGAGGTTGTTTCAGGGTTCGATCTGTGAGTTAACCGTGCCCTGACTTAGAGCAGCCCAGAGGTTGTTTCAGAGTTGGATCTGTGAGTTAGCCATGCCCTGACTTAGATCAGCCTAGAAGTTGTTTCGGGGTTCGATCTGTGAGTTATCCGTGCCCTGACTTTAATCAGCCCAGAGGTCGATTCAGGGTTCGACAAAATTTGAAGGTTTTTAAATCCCATAGTGCATTGCAAGGCAATCTGAAGCCGCAGGTGAATTGAACAATTCCTCAGATTGATATCGTGACTATTTCATGGTCCTCTACATTCCAAGAATTCATGTAAATGATACAAACCTTTTGACGTGATMACGTATTTCCGGTTCGGCCAGTCCAAAAAAAATTATCGACAAATGATGGGTGATTTACCTCGTAGGGGACTAAGTGTTCTTTTGTAAATTAYCTGCCTCTGGCAAATAAAATAAAATAAATGTACTACGAAAATATTAGAAGCTGAGGGTAGTGCTACAAGAATATATAGGGTAGCTTAAGTACTCAGAATGCACAATTTTCATATATTCCGCTAGTTTTTCTATCGATAATCAGCTTATGAATGTGATTTATTTTATAAATTATTGAATTTTGTGCGATGCGTGATTTAGAAAAAAAATAGTAACTATTTCAGAGATATATTAAAATCAGTAAAATACACACACCATTACCGTATGTCCTTAGTTAACCTTTTGTTATCAATTCTTTCAATTCCATGTTTTCACATCCTTTGCGGCCTACGCCCACTCGTCCGCCACACGATCTTTAGAAAACCTTACAAATTATTTTAATCTTGGTAGGCATTTTAGACATGCATTTCTMCCCGCTGACCCCTCCTTTAACTTAGTGGGGTTTGGTTCCTCAGATATAAGTATGTATCATATTCAGACTCTAGAATACGTCGATTCTACATCTAGATAATACACTTCTAGCTTAGGCATAATGTTTCCCCATTTCAGACCACGTGTCATTCTCTTGAGAAAAAGATTATTTGTTTGAGTTGTATCCATATTCATGTGTCTTCTCGTGCGCAACCTTTAAATAAAGAAATGATACTCTAGGGAATGACACTTGATAGGCGTTTTAGATATTTCTCCCCACATTCCCGCCCTCCAATAAAATCTATTTGAATTCCTATCGGTCCATTTAGTGGTGGTTTGGAGATCAGCCGCARTATATGTATGTATTATATTAAGTTTTTATGCATCTGTTGTGAARTTAAAGATCTTTCTCGCGCTGCCTACGTTGACTTTATTCGCGGTAATCAAACCCGCAATCGTCAACAACAGGTGCCGATAAATAAAATCGACTTATTTGGAAGAATTCTACGGTAGTCTATAAGCTAAATACCTTACAAGTCTGAGAATGACAAACTTGTTTAAAGTCGAGGTATTTCTGACTCAAATTCTCCTCAAATATTTAAACATCTGATTCCTGCCGTTCATAGAAATTGCTAGTATTTGGAAATATTATCCATAGTGTAACCCAACCTTCATTTTGTGATACGCCCTCGCTATTATATAAGCTTGACTTTTCTATGGCTCATTCAAACGGTTTCTCCCACACCGTGAAGCAAGGAAATAAATCCCTCGAAGATAGCGGAAATCAAGATGTGGCTAATACAGAGTTGCTTATTGATCCAGATAATTCTGTCAGTTTATTTGAACTCATGTGAGTCTTCGAGCATCTATGTTGGACGACAYGCTTCAGGTACACGAATAGAACAACAGCTAACTTATAAAGGTTAGTTTAAAAACATATAAAAAGTATGAATGAGATAAAAACTATACGCACTGGTTTGTAGTCTAGTGCGCCATCCGTGATAAATTTATTGCATATCATAGGCTTGTAACTTTAAAACTTATTTCTTCATTGGTGAAAGACATATTTCAAAAACTGACTGTATGACTACTAACATCATTTTCTCAAAACTTTTTACTGTCTGAATTCAGTTTCTTTATCGTAAAAAGCACCTTTTTATTATCTTCGAGTTTTAAATTTCCCGTAATTATTAAGCAGTTAGTTTTTTTAACGCGCCCTCAAGAGATCAATAACATCAGGGAAGGCATTTGGTTGCTAATTTGGGGTCTAAGGTTGACATACCTTGATAATTATCCCAATAACATAAGATAGTCTGTTGCTAATTTGTCAGAAAAAATACTTTTTTCTTAACTAAAAACATTTTAAAAGTTTTTGTTTCGAGCTTTTTTCTGGTTTTCGTCAATATTTATTCATTCGAGTCTTGTTTTTGAAGAGTCTTGACAGTGAATTAATAAGTTTTCATTCTTCGTTTCCAGGATGCGAGGATTTTGACACACGAAAATGTCAAAAGATTATCAATTGGTATGGCAAGGATGACGTCTGTAGTCCAGAGAAGTCCTCATGGGCCAAGTCACTTCTAAAACTTTGCCCTGCTTCGTGTGGACTTTGTGGTACGTCCTGYGGTTGATGATGATAGTGTTTAGTTATTTTATATTTTTAATATTTCTTATGATTTTGAGATTCGATTTGTTTTCCTATTTCATTTGATTTTTCTTTTCTCTTCCTTTCTCTTCTCTCCTCTCCTCTCCTCTCCTCTCCTCTCCTCTCCTCTCCTCTCAGTCTCTTTTTCGCACTTTTCAATTATTTTTATAAGTCCACATCACCTTCATTAGTTTATTGTTTGCTTTTACTCTTTGCGTTCGTTTTATTTTCATTTCCACTTTAATTTAATTTTCAGCGCTAATTTATCCTTATTTCTTCCTCAATTTTGATCCTAACAACTCGTTTTTGATATTTTTCCAGTTGAAAGCTATCATCAAAGAAAAAATAATAATACTCAAGAGAAATGAAATTTAATGATAAGATGCATGTTTCATTTTCTTTACTGATCGATTTCTGCTTTCAACCACAGAATGCAAAGATAATCTTGGTAAATTGTGCCTGACTTTATYCCGATACTGCTTCAGCCAGGGCGAGACGGGGAATTTTGTACACCAACAATGTTCAAAGACCTGCAATACTTGTAACCAGGCGTTAATGGGAAGAA